GTGACAATTTTAAAAAAAAATATCCACCAAATTTCTGCAATTAGGAGCTCTTTTACATATTCCTATCTATGTAACACCATCCTCAAGCAGTTTGTTGCACTGCTCCTATTTTATATCATTTTATGTAACTCTGTGTACCATGAGAAAATTGGTGCAGTTTCTTCTCCTTTTTTCTTTTTATTTTTACTTTTTCATCACTCTGCAGCTGGTAGGGAGATGATACACCTCATTATCTTATTCTGTGGGTCACCTAAAATGAGTATTAAGTCATTCTACCTCCCACAGCTTTGGCGCAGAGCCAAGGAGAACTCGGAAAAGTAAAATTCCTGACCTAAAATAAAGAGAGGATGCTTTATATTCTCAGCATAAAAATGAGGTTTCATACAGAATCATGGAATGGTTTGGGTTGGGAGGGACCTAAAATCCCACCCAGTGCCACCCCTGCCATGGCAGGGACACCTTCCCCTGTCCCAGGTGCTCCAGCCCCAGTGTCCAGCCTGGCCTTGGCACTGCCAGGGCTCCAGGGGCAGCCACAGCTGCTCTGGGCACCCTCACAGGGAACAGTTCCTTCCTAATATACATGACAAGCTTATTCCAACAGTTTTCTCACAGCTAAACTGAAATTGCAAGAGATAACCCCATAACCTCCCAAAACAGCTCCAGCTGGGAGACAATTCCCCTTCCAGGACCCAGCCTCATCCTCCACGGGCAGAGTGGCACCACACCATGAGCAGCACAGGCTCCTCTCTCTGATCAGGATTTTGGGCAAGGATTTTTTGTGATTTTGGCATAAAGAGACACATATTTAAACCAAATCTTAATAAATATTTCCATGCATGCACTGAGCTCCTCCACCAACAGTAAATTGGATGGATTTTCTGTAGTTTCTTTCATTCTGATCTGGTTTTATGCTCAGGTAAATTTGCATTTCAGTTGAAATAAATGCACTTTTATTCAAGGGGCTGCAGATGGGGAAAGGTCCCAGCTGGGGCTGGGACTTCTCCAACCCCCATTTCCTGGTGCTGACCTCTGGCCAGGACAGGGGGATCCCACAGGATCCGGCCACATCCCAAACCAGCCACGAGCTACACAGGCTGCAGTCACAGTGCCTGGAGAAATGTGACCCTGGGGGACACCCCTGCACCCTGATGGGCTCCAGCAGGGACAAGTGGCCACTCAGAGCTCCTGGGAGGACAATCACCCACCCCTCCAAGCACACAGGCACTTCTGTCCCCGCAGTCAAAGGGACAAACACCCCTGCAGATGAGGCAAGCTGGATTTTCAGCCCTGGAGCTCTCACTGCAAGGGCTGTATCAGGGAATGGTTTCCTCTGGAGAGGGCTGCCAGGAACTTTATCCCTGCTTTTGTGTGTTGTTTTCCTTGTAAATCAGGATTTCTGTCCCAGAAAACATTACACTAACGTGACCAGGCTCAGATATCCAACAATAAAACCCCTCCAAAGTCTTACCCAGACATTCTCCTCATCTCTCAGAGCAGCTGAGTAAACTCCAAGATGTAACTAATGACTTGCATACACATACACAGGAAAATATTTGGGTTTAAATAATTCCCCAGAACACTGGAACCCTCAGTCCTTTGCGTTACAATGACTCCCAACCCTTAAGGAGGTTTTTCTGTCAGATGAGGTCAATGATGGCAGCAAACAAACAAACACCACGTCCTGCACACCTCTGAAGCCCATGTGGGCTCCATTTCCACCCCTGCAGGATTCCAGCCCTGTGGGGAGCCTTTGTGCTTGGGAAGGACAACGCCAAGGCAATGTGCTGACAAATCCACGCGGGCTCTGTGCCTGAATGCCCCCAAAACTTCCCAAATCTCCCCCAAACCAGCATTGTTAGAAGTCCTGATGTGTCCCTCCCAAAGGCACAGCAACAGCACCCACAGGACTTTAACTCAGTCTGCGAATTTCTCCAACAAGAAGGAAAATTCCAGCTTGACAAGGGTGGGTGACCCCCAATTTTCATGTCATCTGCTGGCAAATGGGCTCTTTGAAGAGTCTGCAAGGCCAAAGGGAGATCCCACCACTTTTTCCCTAACCCTGAACTTCCTAAAGCTGATGCCTCTTTGTCCAGGGCTATTCCTGGGTGGCTCCTGCTTTCCTGAAATGACATTTTCCTGCACAGTCCATTTTCTGTCACAATGATTGGATTGTAGAGCTGAAATGAATGCCAGAATTGTTTGCTGGATACATTACCAGATAACTTTTTTCCTCAAGCCCAGAAAGAGAAATTAGGTTTGCAACAGAGATAATTTTTGGTTTTCTGAAGCACAGGTTTTGTACCATGCTAAACATTCCCAGACAGTGATTTGCATCATGCATTTTCCTCACAAGCTTATTTGTACAAAAGAAATTCCACCTCAGACTGCCACAGATTTGTCCTGCAGGTTTTAAAAATCATGTTTAGAGAAAATAAAACCATTTGGAAATAAAACTTTTACAAACCCAGAGGATTTTTTCCTTTTGATTGATGCACTTGGCTTCATGCTGTGAGCCAGAGGAGCTGCTCCTGAGCCAGGGGAGGGGAGCATGCAGCAGGTGAATGTTGTACCCTGTCCTCAAGGAGGGAGAGGAAGCCAGGCCAGTGGAGGTGTCATTCCCAGGACATCCATGATGGTGCCAAGGGGTAAAATCCCACCTGAAGCTTGTGCTGCTCTTCCCAGGAAACGCTCACATCGTTCATTTCCTCACAAGGATCACCTGGCTGCCATGGTTTCCAAGGAGGATCAGCTCCTCTGCTTGATATTCCCAGCCAGAGAGTGGGAAGCATGTCAAAGACGCGTATTTATTTACATACATTTACATATGGACATGGAGTAGGGACATGCTATGGCATGTAGATGAATGTTTCTCCCCCTTGAGTCCTCATCCTCTGATTTTCTGACTTTGGGAAAATACAGCTTTGGTTCATGGCTGGTAGATGAAACCATCTCCCTTCAATTCCTGGGTATCCTGCAGGATAAATGCCTGATTTCCATGGAAAACACTCTCATTCCCAATGAGGAAGACCCTGTCTCTTCCTCTCTGCCAGAGAAGTGGGAAAGGTTTTGGGGCTCCCTTCTGGTGCCAGTCCCAGCCCAGGGGTCACCCCTGACCTGGGAGTGATTATTTTGCTGTGCCCTCCACGGATACCAAACTCCAAATGTTTTCTCTCCATGCCAAAATATCTTGCTGTGGCTTTAGGGTGAGATTCTAGGCAGGCCTAAAGGCATACACTAAAGCAGGGTGAAATGTAAATAACGTTCTTCCATTTCCCAGATGTGCAGGAAATAATGCACCTGAGGGTACAGACCTGATGGAGCAAAGCTGCATTTTCCTGAAGGCAAAAAAATCAGAGGGTGAGGACTCAAGGGGGAGAAACATTCAGTTTCTACTGAAATAAAAGAGAATCTGGGCACTGATCCTGTAGGAAATGTCTCTGGCCATAGTGAGCTAGAACTGGATGAATGCTTGAAAGAGAATCCTACTTGGTGTCCCTTTTCTGAGTTCTGCTTGGAGTCATCTGTGGTCCAGCCCTGGCTTTGGTTTTCAGTACAGAATGACTTCCATGGTTAAAAAGGTGTTTTTCAGGGAAAAACACTGACCAGTCTTTCCTCACTGCCTTATCTTCCACCTCCTCTCCCAATGGATTGAACTGCTGATGAGTTTTTGAGGATATCTATCTGGAATATAATTGTTCCACAGATCTCTGTCTCCTTTGCAAGCAAAAATTACCATCGTTATTCCTAGGTTAACCGGGAAGCTGAAACACAAAAAGGCAAAATAATCCAACAGAAACAGAGCACAAAATGTCCCCAGGTCCTGTGTCCAGCACAGGTCACCCAGCTGGAGGTTATCCCAGTGGCTCACAAACATCCCTCTTCCCAAAAATCCTGACCTTACATCTCGGGCTGGATTAGGAAAACAAAGCAGAACCATCAAAGGCCAAATTCCAGCCTCACTCAAACCCCTGCTCAAACTTTGTGCAGCAAAATTTAACACTTGCAGTGATTTTTAGGGGCAGTGGGTTTTTTTCCCATGGGATTTGTGGGTACAAAGGCAACGACTTCTCAGGCAGTTTCAATAATTGTGTTTTATTTAACAGCACCAAATAAAAACACAGTGCTTGGATCAATATTATCCTCATGCTTTATTCCATAAATAAACTCCATTGGTTTGTGAGCTGCTTGTTTTTACTTCCAACATGTACAAATAAAGATTTAAATATTTTTTTGGAGGAAACATGACAGCTGGTTTGAGTTCTGCAAGTTTTGATGCAAACATCCTTCTTGGCACCGCTCCTTCATCTGCCATTTCTAGAAACACTTTGTGCTCACAGAAGTGGAGTAAAACGTATGTTACAATGAAAAACGTGAAAAAGTGTTATAAACAAATATTTAGATATTGTTTTTTAATGGGAGAGCTTGCTAGATAGTTTCACTCTATGAACAGGAATGGAGTTCTTCAGAAAGCTGAAATATTGGTCCCTTTTGGAATGTTAAGTATTAATGTGAAACTGCTGTTGCTCTGATGATGTGGTAATGCTATTTCAACTGGTTCCTAAACATAACAAATAACAGTTTTCTTCAAGGATTTAACTCACAGGAAATCAATTAATAAAATACTTCAGAGAAATAAGTTTTCCACGTCTTATAAACACTGGGCTATTGCTACAGAGAAGTGTGCTTTTTAAAAAAAGATTATGATAAATAATACCCCTGTAATTCAGTATTTGCATTAAAAATTCTTAAAATTATTTCCTCTGGGCAAACTGACCAAAAGGTGATGCTCTGGAACAGCTGTGCTCCCTTTTAGGCCTTTTTTGATTACTTGAAAGTTGCCTTAAAATTTCAATTGAAACATAAATGATCTTTCTTTATACAAAGACCCAAATATAAGAAAAATACCTCCAGGTAATTGAGATAACAGTTAATTTTATGGCTTATCTAGAAGTCAAAGGCATTCAAGATCCAATTAGGATGATGAGCAAGAGACTCCTTTGTCACTCCGTGTTTCTGTGGAGGAGCTGGTCCAGTAATTGCTAGAAAAAAAAAAAATGCAAAAGTGCTTTAAAATACTGTTAAAATCCATGAGGTGATAGAAATGTTTAGTGATACAGGAGGTGAGGTGGAGTTGGCATCCCAGACTTCAAATTTACTGGCTGCATTTGCTCCAGAACTAACAGGAAATCCTCACCTTTTTAAACATCTCCACACGCAGCCTGTTACTCTGGATGATGATCCTCTTCTGCTTCTCTTCTTGTTTCTTTCTAACCTCAGGTAAATTGTCATAAATCCTGTCAGGAATTCAGAAAACAGAGCTCATGTCATCCCTGGAGCTCACAAATAATTAATTTTTCCTGTAGAGGATGTTTGCCTTCTGTGCAATACTTGTAATGGGCATCTCTAAGTATTTAAATTTGATTTATGGCATGGGAGTGATAAATTATTAACAGTCATGGTTTGATACGAAATCTGGCTGGTTTCAAATCTTGCTGAAAATTCTGATTTTGGAGTAAAAAAAATTAAGAAAGAGATGGGATCAGGTGATTTCAATGCAGTAGCTTCTAATGAGCTCAGTGAAGTTGGTTCCAATTTCTAGCAACAAAATTCAAACCAAAATCTGGGTTGAACATGTTGGTTTTTTTGCTTTTTTTTTCATTTATGCCACACAATTAGTATCAAGCAATCATTTTCAAGTAATTTTCTAAAATATAAGAAAACCATCATTATAAGTCTGCAAACTGTTTACATTTTTTTCACTGTCATTAGGAACACATTTTACCAAGGACAACACCATCTTTCCATTCTAAAAATAACAGGAGTCACCATTAAAAAAGGTGACTCCTGATCTTTTCCCATTAAAATCAGTGATAAAATTCCCAGGATTTGGAAGAGAAAGCTGGACAGTCCTGGTTTTTGATTGATGCCTTGTGCAGGCTGCCCTAGAGCAGAGGCTGGACAGAGCTAAAGAATAAAGCAGGGATTGATTCCAAGGATCTCCTCCATGGATCCACCTCGGGCAGCACAAGAGCCCAGCCAGGGCTGCACCCAAGATGAACCCAAATGGTCCCAAAATGCACGAGCGCTCACGGGGTCTCTCCCTGGGATCAGCTCTGCTCCATGTGCACATTGCAGTTCAGTGTCCAATTCCAGCTCAGCCCCTGCACTCCCATCCTGCTTGTTTTTCTCTCTGCAGCCCACGGGGTTTGTGCTCCTGGGCTGAGATTTGGATCATTTGTCCTTGGTGCCCAGCTGGAGCAGGAATTGTTTTGTCTCCCTGCTCTGTGCACAGAGCTCACCATCCCCTGATGTGAACCCAGACCCACACACTAAAGCAGCTCAGAATGTGGAAAATAGAAAAGCTAAACCTGAGGCATCAGCATGAGCACAAAGCCTGTTTAGTTCTGGGTTCTCCTCATAATATTTTGCAATTCCACGTTCTTGCAGCAGCCTGTTTTGGCTGGGGATTGTATTTTGGAGAAGAGAAATGGGACACATCTGAAAGCAGAGATTAATTCCCCACGGTGGCTTTTGCAGCTTCCCTTGCATGAAGTGCAATGCAGTTGAAGATCAGATACCACATTCCTCATAATTTGCTGTCATTCCCATCCTCCGTGCCATAATCAGGGGGAAGAAAAATCCGAAGTGACCTTACAACATTTTTGGGTGTTCAATATGAGGGACATGCTGAGGGTTTGGTTTTCATGCCATGGGTGCCCCATGGTGTTGAAAGGACAGGGCTGCCCAAATCTAAGCTGATAGAGCAGAAAAAAAAAATCCATGGACAAACTCCAAAGCAGAGGAATTTGTACCTTTTAGATCTCATGTGCATCTCCTTCTCAGGAATGACTCTCTCCTTTGGTTTGAAGAGGTTATCTGGCAGAGAGAAAATAAAGTCAGTACTGGAGGGATCTGCTTTTACTGAAATCACACATGTCATATTCCACGGAGCCACAATCTGCCATTTCTGGTTAAAGTTTTGATGGCTTAAGGCCAGATCCAAATCTCCAGATCTCGTTCCTGCAGGCAGTTGCACCCTGGCTGCTCCTCAGTGTGTCAGGAACCTGCCCTGGTAGAGCCATTTCTGATTCAATTTACACCTGTTTTCCAGAGCTGTGGATAATTATCTGAGCTTTAGAAGGAGGAAAATCACATTACTCCTTCCTGATCAAGTATGAAGAGATCTATGATAATTCCAATCATCATTTCCCTGGGTACAGGAAAATAATTTCTGAACTAAGCAGTTGGTGGTTCTCAGGAAAAGGTGATTTTAACACCTTCCTTGCAAAAATGAGTCCTGAATGGGAAGGGTATTGGTACAAGGTGGGAAACCACGAAATACATGAGATTACTGTTGTATCTCTGTGTAAAATTCATGGAATCACAAAATGGTTTGGGTTGGGAGGGACCATGAAGCTCATCCCATACCCACCCCTGCCATGGCAGGGACACCTTCCCCTGCCCCAGGTGCTCCCAGCCCCAATGTCCAACCTGGCCTTGGGCACTGCCAGGGATCCAGGGGCAGCCACAGCTGCTCTGGGAATTCCATCCCAGCCAGGAATTCCTTCCCAAGATCCCATCCATCCCTGCCCTCTGGCAGTGGGAGCCATTCCCTGTGTCTGTCCCTCCATCCCTTATCCCCAGTCCCTCTCCAGCTCTCCTGGAGCCCCTTCAGGCCCTGGCAGGGCTCTGAGCTCTCCCTGGAGCCTTCTCCAGGCTGAACAATCCCAAGTCTCTCAGCCATTCCTCATGTTCCATCCTTCCAATCAAAAACTGAAGGGAGCATTGCAGTGGTTTCAGTTCTGAACTGGTGCAGTCTCCGACGCACAAACTCAGAAAGGAGAGAGGCTCTGAAGCCTCCTCTGCCTCAGGACTGCCTTTCCCCCCTCAGCAGTTGTCTACATTTAATCATCCTTGTTAAATCTTCAGTACACACGAGCCACATGCTCGATTTGCTAGGAAAACATAATTTGTCTTTTATTTATTAGTGTTCTAACGCTCATTTGCATGTTGATTCACTTAAAAGGAATAAACACTTGGATGCTACTCCTACTGTCCAAATAACTCTGAAAGTGCAGGGAGCAGCTTGTCTGTGACCCAGGGACACCTTCTATTCCTAGGTTGCTCCAAGGCTTTGAACTCCTCCAGGGATGGGACATGGTGACACATGAACATTCCAGACCTTTGTGTAGCCACCAGAACAGGAAAAACCCATCCAGGCATTTGCAGACCCACTTCCTATTCCATACACAGCATGATAAAATGTATTTTTCCTGCAAGTCCCTAAGTCCCAAGTCCCTAAGTCAGGGTGGCCTCTATTTTCAATTTCTGGGAAGCACCACAGAAGTTGGGAGCTGTGCTGGTGCTGTTGCTCCAGAATAATCCCCTCCTGCTGGCACAGAAGGGCATCAGACCCATCCCTGCTCTGGAACAAGATATGTGGCTGTGCAGGGCTTTAAAGGGATGGACTCAAAAGAGACTCTGGGGAAAACCGTCCAAGAAAATAATAAATCCACTTCCTCATGGAGCCACGAGGTTAATTCTCAAGGCCAAACATTCCTGCAGCACTTCCCAGCTTGCTATTTACCAGAAGAAAAATCACATGCAAACATCGAGGCTAATCCTTGATGGATTGTAGGATTAGGATTCAAAAGTTAAATGAGAAATAAATTTTTAAAAACGCTAGAAACGAGAAAATAAAAGTCATGAGTGCATTTAAATAGGTCTTAATTCTTGACACTGAGAAGAATGAGCATTTCAAAGGGGAAGAACAGCAAACACTCAGAGCTGAAATAAGCTTGAGCTCATCCTGGAGACCTGGCTTAAAGCTCCTTCCTACCACACAAAGATCAAATGGGCCATGAGGCAGACAATTCCCTAAGCTGACAGGCCTCTAAATTGTGGTCTAGCTGCTCCTTATCAGATTTCATAGCCTTGGATGACTTTTGGAGAAGGGATTTCAGAGCAGACCTTCAGCATTGCCAGGGATGCACCACAGTTAAATAAAGCTTCAGACAGAGAGGACTGAGAGTCACCTCCTTGGTGTTTTATTCCCACCTTTGAAACTCCTGACTTTCTGGCACTTACAACTGGTCTCACATCTCCACTAAAGCAAGCTGTAAATGAATGCAAACAGGTCGTCCCTGTAATATATTTTAATTAATGCTAAACTGCACCTCCAAGAGGATGAGTAACTCTCCTGCTTGGGAAATCAGTAAATATTTAGACAGAGAACAGATAAAATTATTCTGTTGGAACCAGCCCCTGACTTCCTATTTACCACTAAATCACTGGAGCACTTAAAAGAGGAAAACAGTGGCAAAATTTATCAAAGTATACACAATACAGATACATTTTCTTCTTCTAACATGAATGTGAATTCTCAAATTTTGGTAGGAGCTAAAATGTGCCTTTGAGGATGTGTGAAAAGCAAAGCACTGCTGGTGGTGGATTTCTAATTTAACTGCTCTTTTACTGAACTGAAAAAATAATTCACCAAAAACCCATTTGCCCAGAGAAATCCTAAGACACAGAACACTTTTTTAAACACTGGGGGTTTTTACACCAGCAGTCCCCTAAAAAAACACATTAGCCTTGAACCTAAGATAGATGTGGATGTGATGTTGAGCTCCACGTGCCCGTGGGGCTTTCCTGGGAATCCATCCAGGGTGTGTAAAGCAGTGCCTACAGCCAGGGGTGCTGCCCAAACTTTGCACATCCCAGTGGCTTCCTGCACTGAACTGCTCCAGCTGCAGGCAGCACATGAGGTTTTGGTGTTATTTACACAAAATGCAACAAGCCCTGAGTCACAGGGTTCAGGGTAAGGCTGCCTGGGCTCCTGCTCACCCCAGAGAATTCCTGAAGCTCACAAATGCTCCTTGCCCCAAGAGCAGCCACAGGAAGGTGGTTCCCAGGTTTTCCAGCTGTTCAGGGCTCTCCTGCTACTACTGAGACTTCTGACCCTCCTCAATATTTCAGTTTTTTCTGGAAAACATTACTAATACCTCTAAAAGGCTGTAAAGTTGAGAGGCTTATGCAAACATTTTCATATTAGAATAATTTTGGGGATGTTGTTGGAGATTTCAGTCCTCTCTATCCAAATGGTACTTATATATTTATGGATTTTATATAAAAAAAAAAAAAATACTAGCATATCACCTGGCCTTCCTAAATCTTTCCAATATCATTAGAGCATATAATCCTAAAAATCCTAATCTTTTTTTTTTTTCCCCAAAATTAGCAGCTTTTGAAGAAGGAGTGGCAGAGTTAATATGAGTTTAATAATATCTTCAAAGCAGATCATTCCTCTTCCTAATTCCATTACCTGATTGCAGCTTAGACTTCATTCAGAGCTGCCAGCCAAAAAAAGCCAAAAGAATGGGTGGCACTATTAAAAGTTTGAATGGGGAAAAGAGAACTGGGAAATGACCCAAAATAAATGACCCAAATAAAGTCACAGCTGAGCACCAATGTGAATGTCACAGGAATACACCTGAGAGGCTGCAGGATTATTGCAAATTCTCTGATTGCCACCTTCTCCTTCCTCACTCCAAATAAAACCCCTCCTGGCACAGGGCTGCAGGAGAAAGCCACCCCTGGAAAACCCAAACAAACAGCAATCCAAAAAAAAACTTTTGGGGAAGGTTTAGAAGCATGACTGAGGGGATAAAAATTGTTTCCAAGATATCGTTAAAGATTGAGGGTTTGGGTGCAAACCCAGGGGTAACCTTCAATCCTATGTCCAATCCCAAAGAAGAACCAACCCCACAAAGGACAGGAAAAGGGAATGTGGGAAAGAACCCCAAACTGAGTGCCTGAGAAACTGCATGAAACCTCCCAAAGTGCCTGTGCACACCAAGATCACAGGGCTGCTCATGATGCAGATTTAAAGGCCCATAAACAGCTGGCAGTCCTGTCACTGCAGTAATTACATTACGGTTTTGGAGATTTAAATGCAGTTATTTGAACATTGTTTCTATTCAGCTCGTCACAGTGGGATCTCTAATTTGTTCGACACAGTCAACAGCAGAGTTGTCTATCTTGGACTAATTAGCACTCTCAGAATTGAGCAGTGCCCATTACCCAGCACAAAGGCTGCCTGGGAGTTCTGGGCAGGTTCTGTGCCTTCAAAGAGCTCTCGTGCCGATAAAATCTCGTGCAGGATAAACATTTTCATTTTCCTCAGATTACTTTCAGCGTTTTGTAAAACCCTGCTCGTGAAGGACAATTAAAAACTGGTAAACAACTCAGGGTTTTGAGGATGGGAAGGTAAATGGGAACTGCACAGATGTTGGTATTTATATGGAAATTATGCTGAATGCCAATTATTTCTTTCTCCTACAAGAAACTGAAGTTGTAACAACACTGTCAAAACACAGGGAAACCCTGCTAGTCAATAATTTCCTGTTATCAGTAAAGATGTTTTAGGCTGATAGAATAATCTCTCTGGGAGAGAGAAAAATCTCTGCAGGTCTTTGCTCTGGGTGTAAATTATTTCACTGGAATAAAAGTTGTAAGAACAGAGAGAAGCACATGTACCAAACTTCTTTGAGAGAGATAAATGCAGCAAACTCCTCAAAACACCTTGGGCTGCAGTTAAAGCCCCATTTCCACCTGAATAAAAGCAGGCACCCACCTCTCCCCATCCTGGGCCACCCTCCTGTGTTGGTGCTGGAACCCTGGTTACTGAGAATTTTAAACTTTCTGTACTAACCCCCAAGAGAACTCTGCATTTGACCTGAGGCTGTGGAGAAGGCTTCCAAAATTGAATAACAGAACTGAGATTATGAGCGTGTAGTTTGAATAGAAGTCTGCAGTATCACATAGTAGAAAACGTAGAGTTTAAAAGTTTAAAATATAGTAATATATATAAAACAAGGTAGAAATTTTAAGACAGAAACTAGTCCTTCTTCTTTACCTTCTTCTTCATAAGTTTTAGTATTTTGTCATTAAATAAAAAAGTCCACATTACAGAGCACAAGTAGTTCGTTATTAAGTTAAAAGTAAAAATTATTTGTCATTTCTTAATTAAACAGTTTATCCTTAAAAAGCCTTATAAAAAAAGAGATACAACTTCATTTTTACCTGGTTAGAGAGAACTGCTGTAAAACTCACACTGGAAGGGTGGGCAGGCCCTGGCACAGGGTGCCCAGAGCAGCTCTGGCTGCCCCTGGATCCCTGGCAGTGCCCAAGGCCAGGCTGGACACTGGGGCTGGAGCACCTGGGACAGGGGAAGATGTCCCTGCCATGGCAGGGGGTGGGATGAAATTATTTTTAAGGTCTTTTCCCACCCAAACCATTCCATGAGGACTTTTTCTGGGCCAAAGCTTTCTGGGGATGCAGGACTGTTTCTCCACTAAGAGATTTGCTGGGAGATTGCCTGGAAATGGATCCATCAGCAATGGATCTGTCATCAGCAGAGACATCAGAAGCACAGAGACATCCAGTGCCCCGGGTGAGCCTTTCCGGGAAAAAAAATTCCACACTCTGGGTCTCACTGATGACACCAATCCTGCTACACAACAGCATCCCCCAGGAGAAATCCTAAAATACCAATTGCCAGGACTCAGAGCAAGTTAAAGATGCTCAGCAGTGTAACAGAGCCTGTGTAGTCTTTGCTTCTTTTTTTCTGCCAAGGTCAGGATTAAATGTGTGAGATGGTATTTCTTGTTGGGACTCAGATGTTTATTAGTTCTTGTTTATGTTACAGTCACACAAACCCTGAGTTCTGCAGCACTTCACTCCAACAAGCTAAAACTGGAGCCCCATCTCTCTCTCTACAAGGCATTTTAAGGATAAACTGTCCAATTAAGAAATGACACCTAAATTATTTTTACTTTTAACCCAATAACCAACCACCCGTGCCCGCAATGGGGACTTTTTTATCCAATTACACAAAACAACCCAAACCCATGGAGAAGAAGGTGAAGGAGAAGACGAAGATGAAGAAGAAGATGAAGAAGAAGACGAAGAAGAAGACGAAGACGAAGACGAAGACGAAGACGAAGACGAAGAAGAAGAAGAAGAAGAAGAAGATCAAGATCAAGATCAAGAAGATCAAGAAGATCAAGAAGAAGATCAAGAAGAAGATCAAGAAGAAGATCAAGAAGAAGATCAAGAAGAAGATCAAGAAGAAGATCAAGAAGAAGAAGAAGATCAAGAAGAAGATCAAGAAGAAGAAGAAGAAGAAGATCAAGAAGAAGAAGAAGATCAAGAAGAAGATCAAGAAGAAGAAGATCAAGAAGAAGATCAAGAAGAAGATCAAGAAGAAGATCAAGAAGAAGGAGAAGGACCAGCCTCCGCCCTGAAACTTCCATCTTGCTTTATATATATTTCTATATTCTAAACCCTTAAACTCTACGTTTTCCACTCTGTGACATCACACACTTCTATCCAAACTCCACACCCACAATAGTGCTATCACTCCATTTTGGAAGCCTTCTCCACGGCCTCAGGTCAATGCAGTGTTCTCCTGGGGGTGAGTGTCTTCAGCACAGAAAGTCTGAAATTCTCAGCACCAGGGCTCCAACAAGAGCCCTCTGTAGTGCAGCCTACAGGGCTGTGCTACACCCAGGGATTTAGATTTCCAGTAATAGCTCCAGTTCTTCTTCAATTACAGACGTGACACTTCTGTCATTATAAAAATATTAAGATCTCACAAACAGAAAACCACACGTGGCTACACACAGGCAGATGAGTTACAGAAACCCAAGATTCCCTCTACACAAATTTACCTTTAATGACCAACCACTAAAAGATGGAAATAGTCGTTAACTTCAATAATTAATGAATATATTTCAATATTATGATTTTATTACTCATTAAACAAGCATAAAGATTAAAATTTCATTACAATTTGAGGAGAAATAGGTTTAGCCTTTCATATTTGGTTTCATAAATTATTTGCAGAGTGGTTTGGGGGATTTTCAACCATGTTCAGACAGAAGTGGGAGATTTTTGCCACTTTCTCTAAAAAAGATGACAAACTCCTGGTCTGCTGCTGACAGAGCTCACAGAGTCCTCGCACTGCACAGCCCTAAGAGATCTGATTCCAGGTAAATTAACTTGGATCCTGGAAATGGTGAATTAAATTCTGTTGAGCCTTTAAGATAGAATTCACGCTTTGTGCCGTGTTCCCTTGTGTTTATTTAGCTCTCACTATAAAAACCCAGTAGGGCTGTGATGTAGGAAAGACCACTGGAAGTTGGAATTCTCCAGGAATCTCCAAGAGCCCTGAAAAGGGGCTGCACCCGCCTCTCCTGCTCCCACCCTCATTCCCCAGAGAGCCAAAAACCTTTGTGCTTCCCTGGGTTGAGAACATCAAATATTCCCTTTCCTGCATCCTCCAGGTGTCTTTGTTAGTTTGTTTAATCCTTTCAATTAATTTACTTTTCAGTAGAATAATGTATCTTCAAGCAGTCAGAGATTTAAAACCAAGATGTAAGGAGGAATGCCAATCAATCAAATAAATCTTTGTTCTTTAGTCAACTAAGTTAATTAACATCCAGACGGCAATTTAAAAAAAATAGAAAAGAAAATAAAAAGAAAAGCAATTTGTTTAACATCTTGAGCTTAGATAACATTTACAGAGGTGGGCTGTGAGGGAGAGAAGGGTTTCCCTCATGGGGGGTTGAGGCTTCTTGCCACAACCTCATCAGCTTCAATGAGGAAATCACAGAGTGTCACGCCTTGATTTAGCAGGGCTGGGCAGAGCAGAGCTCTTCCCCAGCTCTGGGATTTCTGACAGAAGTGGCAAATCCACACCTGCAGCTGGGGCTCCTATCCCAAATCCCACCTGCCTCCCTACTGTCACCTCTGTCCCCAAACAGATCATTCTGTGAGCTGGGAGAGGATGAAATGTCATGTATTGCCATCAGCCCCACAACCAGCAGCAGCTGCACCGTGCTGAAGAACACAACTGCATGTGACAGTGACAAAAAGTCCCCAAGGAGCTGCCACAGAGCACAGAAACTCCTCATCCCCATTAACCCTTCTCCGAGCTGCTGGGAATTCCTGCCAGGAGCATCTGCAGAGATGCTGGAGAAAACCAGGAGCAGCAGCTCTCCTGTTTCTCCCCAAATTCAACTTGGAAATTCCATCCAGGACTTCCAAAGGCAGCCACGGACCTGCTGCTGCTCCCAACTCACCACTGAGAGGGTCGGGGATGGTGAATTGCCTCTTCCTGCTGGAAGTGGAGGTGGAGAGCTTGCGATCCAGAGCTCGGGGGGTGCCTGGGGGAGCCTCCCTGTGCTGGGCCCTTCTCAGCTGCACCATGAGCTGCAGCCTCTTCTGCCTCTGCTGGGAGCGGGAGATGAACTGAGGGTTGTGCAGCTCCAGGGCTTCCTGCAGGAGACAGAGGAGCTGCTTTAGGCTCTCGTGATCCAAAGGGAGGAAAAGGTGTGATGGGCACAGGGCTGAGTTTGGTTAGAGATTGTTAAAGGGGTGAAAATTAGCCTAGGTTTGGGTTGGAAGGGACTTTAAAGCTCATCCCACCCCTGCCATGGACAGGGACACCTTCCCCTGTCCCAGGTGCTCCCAGCCCCAGTGTCCAGCCTGGCCTTGGGCACTGCCAGGGATCCAGGGGCAGCCACAGCTGCTCTGGGAATTCCATCCCAGCCCCTCCCCACCCTGCCTGGGAACAATTCCTAATTCCCAATATCCCATCCATCCCTGCCCTCTGGCAATGGGAAGCCATTCCCGCTTGTCCTGTCAAGCTTATACATTTATGTTTCAAATTACATATTTTTACATCCAAATTCAAGTTCTTGATGTTTTGCCTGTTTCCTTTTCTCACCCCATCACTGAAGCAACTCGTCACTGACAGTTCACAAACTTTCCTGTTTATTTAGATTGTCAGATCTCTCCATGGCTGATCCAGAAAGAAAACACTTCCCAGTCAAAGGCTGCTTCAACATTTGGGAATGTCTTAGTGGCAGAGGAAAGGAGCAGAGATGGGTCTGCAACATGTGCAGGAGGAAAAGGCAGGGAAGCCCCTCAGGCAGGTACCAGCCTGGGCCATGTCCACACCTACAGCTGGTGCTGGAAGTGCCAGGCACTTGGGAAACTGGGAATTTGTAAATTCCCAAACTCTTAACAAGTTCCCCCACAGGAACAGCAGCTGCAGCTCAAAACGGGGAGCCTGGACAACCAAGTAAGTTTTGGCAGCGGATACAAACTGCCAAAACTTCACTGGAAAGGGAGAAATCAAAGAATGTGAACTTCTGCCCTTAACAAGTTCCCAGAAAGCAAACACCATCTATGGGGGAACGGGGAGAAAAGGGAAGGAGGGGGGAAAAAGAAAAATAAGCAGGAAAAAAGGGAAAACGGGGAAAAAAAAATTATGCTTTACCCGCAGTGTCCATGGGGCTGCTGGAGTTTTTTCCAGCTGGGAGCGGGGTTCTGGCCAGGTGAGCAGGTTTTTGTCCCAGGTCACACCTGGAGAGCATGCCCTGGGCAGTGGCACCCCGGACAGTGTCACCCTGGACAGTGTCACCCTGGACAGTGCCACCCTCCTGCCCCGCTCCCGCTCGTCCTGTGCCTCGAGCTCCTTTGTTCTGTTCCTCGGAGCAGGGAATTCATAATTGCCTTGGAGAGATTTAAAAGTTCATTAGGAGTGCATGGCTAATTTTTTATTGGGTTCTCCACCTCATTAGACAGAGAGGGCAATTCCTGAAATAAGAAAGCCAGGCTGTTATTAATAGGCCTCATTAGGCAGAAGAGATCAGATCTAATGGTGGCTGCCCTGTGACACCCACAGTGTCTCTCACATTATCCAGACCTCACACGGAAGGAAATCGCAATTAAAACTCTGGGACACTCAGCTCTCTTTGCTGGTGCTTCCCAAAATTTGTGCCACAGAAAGCCAGGGATATCTCGCTGTGACCTGCAGTTGGAGTTCATTCCAATTTATTGCAGAAAACACCAGATTGTTGTGGGCTTTAACCACAAATCACTTCCCTTTCACCACACTGAGCCCTTCATCAGCACCACTGTTTTTTTATTTTTTTCCTTTGTTTTTAATCCAGTTCGCTTTCCGTCATTCCTACAGATCCATTAGCCAGTGGAAAAGCTCCATTAAAAAAAATAATCAACAAAAGGTTATTGTGCATTATAGGGCATTATTATGAAAGCTGTCAATTCGCATTGAGGAAAAGAGATTATTTTCTGCGCTTATAATTAAGTTTTAATGCTCACTGACTGATACTCCCTGCACAAATTAGGACCAAAAGAGGCTGTGTGCTCAAAAATCAGATTCTCATTCAGAGGACAGAACGAATCCAAAATAACAAAGGAACTTCGGAAGGGCTCCATATGAACTGTTTGAAAAGTCACACTGGAGTGCTCCTTCCTTGCCAAATAATTTGATTTCTAGAACTAAATATCTGGGAATAAAGCCCGTTACTGTTTTATTTCAATTTTTGGTTACAATAAACTTAAAATATTTTCCTCTTTATGACATATTGTACATATTATATTGTACTTAAAAAACATATTAAAAAGATCTGTGTTGGGTACATTTGCCTTATAAAAGCCTGAACTGTATTTCCTCCCTAACACTGTTCTCACCAACATTTTGGAATAAACCTTGAAACCTGTGAACATGAAATTAAATTCCTCCCTAAGCCAGGTTTAGAGGTGTGGATTAAGTTGGGCTTTGCCAGATCTCAGTGGATGCTTCACTTTTGTAAAACAAAGTTTCTTTCAGTTAGGGGAATGCCATGATTTAACTTCAGGCACTGAAAACAGCATTTAGAGTTCCAAATGTGTGACATTCAGCAGCTTTATGCTCAGTGATGACAAATTTTGCCTACCTGCCTGCAAAAATTTCTCTTCAGAAAAGACAGCTGTAAGGAAAAAACATTCTATGACCATTACAACATTTTTAAGGAATAAGCTTCTCACAAACATATTGATACTAAACCCAAATTAATCTCAGTTGTCTTTTGCAAAAATACCTGGTGCATGAATACAGCTGCTGGTGTCATCTGCGTTTTAGCTGTGAGAATTAATGTTGGAAGTAAGACATCCCAGACACTTCTAAACCCAAAGAAACTATGTTTTACACTCTGAAATCTTGTTAATAACCATAGTTCAGGTTGTTTTGTCAAAAAAAAAAGAAGGCTGAAGGAGTGAAAGAAAAGTATCAGAACCAGGTTGTAAAAATAACGTCACTACTGGTATTACTTGGTTAGGCTAGGGCTGCTTGACTTTGCAATTTTAATGCTTTTTCAAGATTTTCTTGGGAATTTCAGCCTATCTTGGTCATTTCAATCTTGTTTTCTATGAACCATAGAAATGGTATACATTTATAACCAATGTATACAGTCAGATCAGCTGATTGATCTCTCACCAGATGACTCACGCTCAGCACTTAAAGCTGGACAAAAATGGCCTGACTTTCCATTATTTCACTTTTTTTTTCTTTGAGACTGATCTCATCTTATTATTGAAACCATATTCCTGACAACCACAGTAGGATTTGTACCTTACTTTTTAGGAGCTGCTTTTGCCCGTGAACATTTTCTTCCCAGAGGATTCTTGATGATGCCTTTATGTTGCACTCCACGCTGCTGGAGACAGACATTTTTGGTTTCAGGACACCCTGTGCTTGGATCTCTTTGGGTTTGGAGGTGCCTTTGGAGGGATCTGCCCTGCTGGATGAGCCATCAGGAGCAGCAGCAATGGTTTCTCTGGAGGCTGCAACTGGAAGGGGGCCAGGGGTTGTTGTGCTGCTCCTCTTCCTGCCTCCCGATAGCATTGGTGTTCCTGTGAAAAACAGAAAAGCAATCCTATAACATGGGAATTTTTTTTTTCTCAGCCCTTTAATTCATGTGATTTTTATTGGCGTGGCAGGATCCTGGACTGGTAGGAGCTGAGCAATGTCCTTCTCATCAAAAACTGATGTTTTTGCCAAGTGTTGTACAAATTGGACCATTTGGGTGCTGGTTCCTGCTGTGGCTTAGCACAGAGCCAGAATGGGGCACTGGAAATGCTCGGGTGGGAGATGCTTCTGAGGCAACCACTCCACTGGAGAAGGGTCAAAACCCCGATCCCAAAACTTGTTAGGCCTTGGTTTTCATCACAGCCACCACTGAACCCACAACAATGATTTTGATGAGGTTTAAACAATTTCAAATCCTAGAATCCTGGAACACTTCCAATTGAAATGTATCTTAAAGAACATCCAGTTCCACACCCTTCCATGGCCAGGGACACCTTCCACTGTCCCAGAGTGCTCCAAGTTCCAATGTCCAACCTGGCCTTGGAACTTCCAGGGATCCAGGGGCAGCCACAGCTGCTCTGGGCACCCTCCCAGGGAACAATTCCTTCCAAAAATCCCATCTATCCCTGCCCTCTGGCAGTGGAAAGCTATTCCTCTTGTCCTGTCACTCCAGGCCATTGTAAAGATTCCTTCACCTTTCTTGTTGTCTTTATTAAAAGCAGATTTAACACAATTCTTTCTCTGCTCTTTCCCATGTCTCGGTTGAGACAGAGTGAAGATTAGAAGTGTTTTTCTCCTTTGAGCCAATTCATGACAAAGGGTGAGATGACACTGCAGGGATTTAAAGAATTTGTAAATAATTTGTGGATGTGGCACTTGGGGCCATGGGTTAGTGATGGGCAGTGCTGGGGTGATGGTTGGACTCGATAATCGTGAAAGGGTTTTTCCAACCTAAATGATTCTGTGTTTCTATCATTCTGTGTTTGACACTTCCTTATCTCAAAGTCTAAAATCAGATCCTGCAGTGTGGCAAGTTTTCAGTTCACTCTTCCAATCCTTAATCCACTCACAATAGATAAGAAATATTCTTTTCCACAAAATGATGACCTCCTATGCATTTTAGTGACCTGACTGACTCATGTCTCTGTTTGGCTACCCAGTATTTCTGAGGAAATCAGAGGCATTAAGATACAGCATTTACTGTTTTTCCCTTTCCCTGTAGATCAGAGCTTGGAGCACAGAACCACGGAATTGTTTAGGTTGGCAAAGCCCTCTGAGATCATCGACTCCAACCACAACATCTTGAGCTCCTTTCTGTAACTGCCCATACAGTGAGGAGTCAGCTCCTCAGGGGATCCTCTAGTGAGGGATCCCTGAAGATCAGCACAAACAGAAAAAAACAAACCTTGTTTTTAATTAAATTCATTGAGATGAGCCCCATCCAAAGCAGTTTCACAGCCCTACAGAAAATCCGGTCAAAGCAAGAGAGCTCCCAAACTCTGGAGTAGCACCCAAGCTCTCCTGCTCTCTGGCAGAACTCATTTTTCTCTGTGCTTTTCATCATTGCAAATATCTCCCTTATCTTTTGTCACAACCAAGCTCTTTTCTCAGATGGAAATAGTTTTGCTGCAAATGCTCTCAAGAAACCGGACAGACTCAATTCTGTGCATCCCCTCAGAGCTCTTGCATATCCATGGACCTGTTCCCTGACCAATCCCATTCCTGCAGCCACACAAAAATGTCTTATGGCACAGAGAGGGAGGAAAAAAACCACCAGGACAGATTAATGGGGTCGTGGACTCAAAGGGTGGCTGTGGGAGGAGGCAGGAACAAGCAGTGGGGTAGGAGAAGATGAAGAAAGCAGCAGGTAGCACTGAGTAACTGCAGAGCAGCAGGGGAGGAAGGTCTTTCACTCAGGCAGCCAAGAAATCAGATGGATAGAGGGGAAAAAAAGGAGGGGAGCTAAGCCACAGGAAGAACCTGAATGGAAAACAGATTATCTCATTAAATCACCTTTTAAATTAAAATATAGTTTACTGCTGGCCAGCAGTAAACAGAGAAGAGAAGAAAGAGGAAAGGAGGAAAGAGTTTCTGCTCATCCATAGCAGCATCACAGTGGGAGATAATTTGCCTTCATATCAAGAAATGGTCTGTGCAGCAAATGTGTGTTGTGAAGCCAAACAGCTTCACTGTCAAACTGCTCAAGGCAATGCTGTGTCCCCAGGAGGGGCTGTTTGCTGCTGCTGGGCTCCCCAAAATCAGCAGGAGTCATCAGGGGGGTCAAAATGGGTTGTAAGGGAGAAAGGTAAAACAGTGGAGACCAGAGTGAGGGAAGGAGAAGGCTCCAAGTCACATCTCTCCTCTCAAACTCAGAATATTGATCTGAACACAAGAAAGAAGAGCTGCCTGGAGTATTCACACCCCATTTACTCCTAACTACCAGACTAGCTCTCCATGGATATTGGCTTCCAAGTGTAAGTACAGCAACCTTCAAGAATGGACAATTAAGCTCCAGGAAATTTCTTACACGTTGTGCAAATGGAGAAAACCTTCTCTCCTCTCTGCACCACTTCCCTGCTAAAAGAAACTCCACCAGTGGCATCCTCCCAACAAGGCCTGGGGGATCCCTATGAAGATGTGGATTAGGAGAGAAGGAAAAGAAATGCATGAACAGAACTAAGAATGGGGCCAAAAATTACAAAAAAGGGATGGATGCTTCTTAGCATTTTATGATAGAAGGTTGCCTTGAGAAAGAAATAAAAAACCCCCCACGATTCCTGATGAAATTCAGGAATAAAATCAACACTTCCTTCCTGCATTAGAAGTGTCTTCCTTGTGGATCTGGTTCTAATATTCTAACTAAATCTTAATCCTTATTAGATTCACAGTATGGTGGGGATCTTTTTTTGGTGGTAGTTAATTCAGGCAATAAAAGAATATGCATCTTCTTCTTGTCTAACACTGAAGGCAATCAGAATAACAGAATTAATTTGTTAAATTCTTTCTTCCAGCTCCCTCTTGAATCAACCTTTCCCTTCCAAAGGTGCACCCAGGTGGAACAAAATCCCCAGGAAAACAGAGCAAAGCAAACCAGACAGTGGCTCCAAAAATCAACTCCCTCATCCTCAAAGCAGCTCTCAGTTACTTTAGCGAACACAGATGCAAATGATATTTAGGAATTAAAAAAAAAAAAGAACAAGGCAAAGGTACTTAAAGGTAAGATCACAGCATTTCACTCTGTAGACCCTGGACCAGTTTTTAATATTCTGTGTAGGGAATTAGGACTGTTACTCTCATTAAGACTATCTGGAATTGTATATCTAAATCCCTCCACCAACCCAGCTTGAAATATATATGCCCCACTGAGAATAGCCAGAATTGCAACTGGATGACCAGAAATAGATGTTTTTTCTATTATCCCAGCTGAGGAAAGCCTTTAAAACCAATGAACAAAGACATGCAAGTGTAATGCTTTGGGAGATATGGGAGAGCAAAACTCAAAGAAACAGAAAGCAGAATGACTCCATTAATAAAATTCAGCCAGTATAGGTTGTAGTTGTAAAAGTTCAGCTGCTTATAGAAGCAAATTTAAGGAACAAAGTCATAATTACATCTGGAGAAGAGTAATTTTTGCCCTGTGGAAGAAAGATGACAACAGCTCAGTTTTTAAATAATGACTTAGTGAAAACCATACCATATAGGAGGAGTTAAAAATATTCTGTAAAACCAAGCGTAGGTTTTCAAAAGCTCCTTTAAAGAAAAAAAAAAAATCCTTGATCTTGAAGTAAAATAAGTATATTGTTTTACTGTAAAGTATCTTTTTACATTTCCCCCTTTCTCCCTTCAGGGGGTTTTGCTAACGGGAAGTGACCCTGCATTACAGCAGGTTAAATTTGAGACACACACAATCCAGGCAAACATCCCCTGTTCCATTGTTACTACTTCTTTCCCCCCATTTCACTTTACAGCAGGATAATTCAGCTTTTCATCCTTGAATATAACACTCTTCCCAGCGTTCCAGTGTGGATTTTTGATGATTTGTGACAAAGTGCTTCTTTGAAACTGGCCAAAGTTCATTTTAGCAGAGGCAGGGCTGCAAATCCTGCCTGGCCACCAAGTCAGCCCGAGAGGTGGCTGGGGAGGGGACACTCTGAGCTGATTCCCTGTGTGTCCCACAGTGAGATCAGACATCAGCACTGGAGGTAGCTTTGCATTGCAGACCACCTGTGGGGGGTTTGTTTTAATTTAATAAAAGCCCCACATCCTGAGCTGCTGAGCTCTCCCAGACCTCCGTGCTGGAGCTGATGCTGCCAATACCCCAAGCAGAGAGGAGCAGGAATGAACATTCCTTAAATGTAAGAAACTTCTGCCTCCTTCAAGATTTAGACCCAGTAGTTGTAGAGACCCACACGTGCCTCAAGCAGCCATCCATAATCCCAAGCAAGACTCCAGCCTCTGTCTGACGGAGACTGATGGCTCAGCCCTTATCATGAATCAAGGGTTGGCACAGCTGAGCCACGCAATCTTAGATGTGAGCAAACAGAGCACATCATCTCAGCAGCCTGGTAACCCAGAGAAATGGAAACACTGAGAGCCATGACAGCGTTATTAGTTATGCCAGGGTTTGTCAAGGGATGCAAGGTAGGATGGAGGATTTATTTTTCAGATCGCTGCTGAGGAAAAGGCATCACTTGTGATCAGCCAACGAGCTGCAGTCGGCCAGGGGTGCCACAAAATTCACATTTTGACTAAAATTCCTGCTGGCCAGCAATGAGACTTTTGTCCCAAACTGCCTCCTGATGCTTCTCAAATGACTCATTTGCAAGAGGAAGCATCAGCTGCTGCTCAGCATTAACATCCATGGAAACTACCTGAATTCCTGGTAATGCAGCTCTGCCCATGCTCCCTGTTCAAAACGTGATGTTTAACAAGGTCTTGATTCACCTTTCAATAAAAACCTGGGTCTGGATCCCGAGAAACAGGTCTGGGCCTTGTCCTCAGCTCCATTCCCAGAATTGTCAAGATCCAAAGTCAAGGTAACTTT